AAGCTGCCTCCTTGTACACTCTCTCCCAGCTTTGATGAAGGATACTTAATATATTGCATTTCCGCGCCCCCCTCATCCCCCTTTATATCTTTCCCTCCTGCTGCTAGGAGAGGAAGTGTGCTTCCAGAAAAAGCTTTTATTGTGTAGTCACAATAAAACATGTCTCAAATATAGATTTTATTAAGGGGATGAGCATGTCTTGTTGCAATTTTGTCATACTTTCCCAGTTGTAGTTCTCTCTTCTTACCAGAAAAATTATTAATGAGGAAGGAAAGAGGGAGTAGCTGTTTGGTAGCTCTGTGGGCTTTTCCCCAAAGCTCAATTAAAATGCTGTCCACCTGTCCTTGAGCCAGTAGAAAACTATACCAGTGTAAACATTGTTGTTCCCACTGCTGATTGCTATCCTGCATCTATAACCTCTGTTCTGGCTTTCCACTACATCTGCTTTGGAAGATGCAAGATATGTTAAGATATGTTGGGCAAGCCCTCTTTCTTTGCTACCGTCCACTTTCTGAATGTCACCAGCCATGAGTGTCCCAGAATCCAGCGGTTTTGTCAAAATGATGTGTGCAATGATGTCACAAGTTCTGCCCCTCATGTACTTATGTGTGATGTATAAAAGGGAAATTTGCATCTTAATGGTTATTTAGATTGTCTGTGCAAGTTGCTATTATTGTAAATCTAAATTCACAATGCCCTCTTTGTCAAACTCTGACAGCTTCCTTGAACAAATTAGGAAGGCAGTATAGGAGAGAAGGAGGAAACTCTAGGAATAAAAAAATAATCAAGGAAAGGGAAAAAATCAGAACATTGGGTATAGATCTAACTTAACTATAATATTGATACAGTGCTAGAACAGACTGCCAAGGACTTTGTGCGCACATGCCTGCATAAACACAATCTTCATCACTGGGTATCTTGAATAACAAATTGGATGAATGTTTGGCTACTAGATTAATGGAGGTGGTCTGTCAGTCTGGCAGAAGCTCATTCCAGTGGAGGCTGTTGACCAATTAAAACATCTTTCATGATTAATCACTTGCCTTTTAATAGAGCAGTCATCTAACTGACCGCATTTATATACATTTGCATACAAGCCAAGGCCTTAGTAAAATGTACTTTTTTTTAGATATTAAAAGAAGCATGTAACATAAAATTAAAAACCAAGGTATTGTGAGAATAGCATATTTAATATCTTGTATTTCATTCCATATGTAGCAATATAGTGGAATGAAAACAGCCTTAAAATTAAACAAGCATTGTTAATGTAGAGCCCTGCTGATTAAAATTAATCAACCACTATTAATTAAAGTGCTTGTATATCAATTAAACTGGTTAAAGCTTGTAACCATGCTTCCAATTTCTATTTCCATGCTAGATATTAGAATAAATAACTGATTCTGTGGTGTGTTTCAGAAAAAATATTTTGGGAAGATTTTCTAGACTTCATGAGCTATAAAATTTCTTTGTAAATGAGGGGTGTACAACTTTTTTCAGGTTGAGGCCACACTCAGTCTTTGAGTAAGCATGCTATGGATCATGTTCCAAATAATAAGGGGGACTAGACAAAGAAGTAGTTAGAGTCAAGAGAAGGAGTAAATTTGATTGGATTCTATTTAAAACAATTTAGATAAATTCAGGTAGTAGCATTGTTCCCCATATATTTATATTTTTCATATTAAAATTATGGATTCACAATAGCACAAAAGAGTACCAGGTGATTTCAATCTCCTTTCGTTGTGATCAGAGCTGTCTTGGAAGTTCATTGCCACCATGGCAATCATGGGTTTGTCCTAACTCATCACTGGCCCTGTGCACATGACTGGCCACATTTTAGATCTTGTATTCACCTTGGAGCAAATGTGTCATGATCTGTTTCTGGGGGACTTTTCCATCAGTCCATTATCATGGACAGATCACTTCCTTGTAATTATGGGCCTGACTGGGGCTGCCAACCTCTGAAGGAAGGAGGGACCTATTAAGATGATCTACCCACATCTGATGGATCCACCAAGTTTCCTGATAACGCTTGGGGAGTTCCCAGCCATCTGTTGGCTGGTGCTTCTGTTAGATGCCTTGCTGGCCACTGGAATACAGAGGCAACTGGGACATTTGACAAGGTCCCCTGTGGCTGGCTGTCCCCACCCACCAATCCTGTGCAACTCCTTGGTTTACTCTTGGTTCACAGTCTGTGAAATGAACTGGGTGAAAAGATACCTGAAATGGCACTGATGGAAAACAAGAAGTGAATGTGACCAGATATAAATTAGAGCCTAGGTTTTAGCTTTCTTTATAGCAATACAGGTAGTCATCGCTTAATGACCTTTCGTTTAACAACCATTCAAAGTTACGATGGCCTCGGAAAAAGTGCTTTACAACCTGTACTCGCACTTACGACTGTCGTGAACCATCGCATCACCCCCCATGGTCACGTGATCACAATTTGCGATCTTTTTTATGATGGTCATCAAGTAAATCACCACAGTCATTACGTGAATCACCATGGTTGTTAAGTGATCGTGTGGCCATTAAGCCAATTCCAGCAAAAAAGTCTATCAGAAAAGCTGGATTTGTTTAACGGCCACGTAATTCACTTAACCACAGTGATTTACTTAATGACCATGGTGATTCACTTAACAACCATCATAAAAATGGTTGTAAAATTGGGTCTAGTCATGTGACTTGCTTAACAACCAATTTTCTGGTCCCTATTGTGGTCATTAGGTGAGGACTACCTGTAAGGGTAGTGATGCATAGTTACTTTACCTCCATTATTGCATCTATGGAATGTCAGCTAATTACACTTTTTAAAGTTTCCGAGACAGTTTTGGGAAGGATGGGCCAGAAGATCCTGTCAGTGTAAATAGTAATAATCTGGTTGAACATTTCATGGATAAAATACCTTGCGTCTGCTGCAAGCTAGAAGCTAGATGGGCAGAATCCATTAAGATGATACAGAAGACATTCTGTGGTATTATCTGTGAGATCTTTGAGCCTGTGGATCACAAGGAAATGGACAGAGTCTTCTGCAATCTTAATTATGTTACTTGTGGACTAGACTTTTGCCCCATCTCTCTAAAGCAGTGAGGCAGGGGACTTAAAGTTGGATCCACACTGTAGTCAATATCTCTTTGACAGAAGGGGAACTACCAGTAGTCCTTAAAAAGGCACCGGTTTGTCCATTCCTCAAGATGCCAGGCCTGGATCTAACAAAACTGGACAACTACCATTTTTGTCTAACCTTCCCTTTTTTTGGATAAGATTGAGAAAGTGGTGAGGCTGCAATTGCAGAGGATTCTGGAGAATATAGACTACCTGGACCCCTGGCAGTCTAGGTTCAGACCTGAGCATGGGACAGAAACTGCACTGGTCACTCTCATGGATGAGCTTTGGCAGGGCTTGGACGGAGGTGGTGTGGCCAGCCTTGGCTTCCTAGATCTCTCAGTGGCTTTTGATGCTGTCAGCCACAGTGTCCTATCTGACCAAAGTCAACCTATGAGGGTTGGAAGATGGAGGAATGATGTTGTAGTAGTTCTGCTTCTTCCTGAGAAGGTGGTTGTTGGTGGGAGGGAGGGTAGACCCCTGGGCACTTTGTTATGGAGTGCCTCAGGGTTCAGTCCTCTCCCCTATCCTGTTTAACATCTACATGAAACCACTGGGAGAGGTAATTTATCACTTTGGGGTGAAAGCTGGTGATTCAGCGACTGACTGATTCCAGGACTATAACATCTTTCATTCCTAATGGGGTTGTGCTGCCCTGGAGAGAGCAAGCATGCTATCTGGGGGTACTCGTGGCTCCTCCTCAAGACTATAGTCAGGAAATCTTTTGTACTGCTTTGATTGGTGCTCCAGTTGCAGCCCTATCTAGGATACAACACACAGAAGAGAGTCTCTCATGCTTTTGTCATATCTCAGATTACCTCTATATGGAATTGCCCTTGTAAACAACCAGAAAACTTCAGCTGGTTTGGAATGTAGCAGTGCACACACTTAGTAAATGATCTCGGAACTGCCATGTTACACCTTTTCATACAAGCAACATTTTACAAATGACCAGGGCAAATTACACAATAAAACTGTGACACATCTAGGAAAAAGGAAAAGGAAAAGTCTCTTTTGAACTGAGCTTGACTCCTGGTGACTTCATTCACACTTTCATGTGGTTTTCTTGGCAAAGTATAGAAGTGATTTTTTTTTTAAATTCTCAGTCTAGCGTACAGCCTTGGGGTTTCCTAGTGGTCTCCCATACAAGTGATAACCATGTCTGTTCCTGTTTAGTTTTGCAGCCAAGTTAATACCATGGGCTTTTTAAAATTGTTGTTTGGACTCCTCTCAAAATGCACTGGCTGTAATGTATTGCTTCTTAATTAAAAGTAGAAAATAATTATTTTTGTTGCCAAATCCTGAGCGTCATTGTGCATCAGGAATGTATTGCTTCTGGTACAGTTCATGCTGCTCACCCTTTGTCCCCCACCCATGCTCTTGTGCTGTGTCTTGTTGCAAGAAGCCAAAAACATCTTCTCGGTAAGATTTTTTTTCATTTCACTTCAGAAAAATAACATTTGTACATTTGTCTTCCAGCCTTCTTTTCATATGAGGCTTTCCCTGTCATACCTTCTGCCTTCCAGAATATGGGTGGCAAACTGAATGCTGTGAGAGCAATATGGAGAATCGCTAGGTCCGGTTCTGTTTTGGTTGAGAGCAGCTTCTGTCCCAACAGGTTGTTGTGTTGCAGAGCTCACTGTCAGGCTTAGTTTATAAAGAAGATGACAGGTACAAACTAGAGCCATAACCTTCTGTTGCCAACTCATATTTAATCTTGAGCAACCTCTTCTCTTACAAAAGGAGAATGATTCCTTCTCTAACAGAACAAAAGCTGAACATTTGGGCTATATCAAAATGATGGGAGACAATAACATGTTAAAAGTCTATGTTCAGGAAACTTGATAGAAAATACCTGTCCTGATGTCACACACCTCTGTTTCTCTCTCTGCTTTCAGACCCGAAGTTCTCGGCATTCACAGGGTTCTCAGCCTGGCCTGGCTGATCAAGCCAAGCTTTCCTTTGCTTCAGCAGAGTCTCTGGAAACCATGTCTGAAGCTGAGCTGCCCATTGGGTTCAACAGAATGAACCGCTTTAGGCAAAGCCTGCCATTGTCTCGTTCCACCAGCCAAACAAAACTCCGGTCACCAGGTAAACTCCCTTGTGAAGTACCCAAACATTTCTGATTAGCAGAGGCATCCCAATGTTAGGCATTTCTTTAAAAAATGAAAGCTGCCTTTTGTGTTTCCTTTTTGGAGTTTTTCTTGTGGAGCACTCAGAGGGGGTGTGATTAAATCTGTTTCTGTATAAGCATTTTTTCACTTAAGGTGCATATAAGCATCTTAGATGAAGCGGTAGCATGTTCATTATTTATTTAAATTATTTCTATGCCCACCCATCTCACAACAGTGACTTTATGATCTGAATGCTTTGATTTTGAGCTTTGGAGAAGTCAAGGGGCCCAACATACTTTTAGGGGAGAAAGAAAGGAAGGTTAAAATGTTGGCATCTGTTGTTAAAAAGGTATCAGATAATATGTCTAGGAAGGACCCTTGTGTAAGACTTTACTATAACCTTCTCTGGATGTGCTGTACTACTAAACCTGTCACCTTTAGATAACAGAGTCATTAGACATTCTGTAAGCACATAATGAGAGCTGTATTCCAGCACAACCAGAGGATACCAGGTTGGGAAAGGCTGCCTTAGGGAATGACTGCCAGTCAGAGCAGGCCATGTTATTCTAAGGAGACCAGTATTTTGAGTGAGTTCAAAAAGTTTAGTTATATTAATTTATTTGCTCAGAATTCTTTGTATTAGCAATAATATAGCTTCAAAAATTCACAAAACATTATTTAAAAAAAAACAAACCTAGAAATTCAGCACAATTGAAGCATCAGTTAAAACTTTTTGAATTAATAGGAGTAGGAGGATCAGATTTAGATTTAGAGTAGGAGGATCGGGACTTACATTTACTCTCCTGATATTTATTATATCCCCGATCAACTATTAATACCTTTAGCTTATCTGTGAAAATGAAGGGGAGCTAGCCATGTGTGGAATTCCATAGTTACGCATCTCAAAATCTTGGCATTGATTGCACTGTGCTACTAGTGGCCACTAAAATAGAAATTGAATATTTAGCAGTGTATCTGAAAGCACATAGTTCCATCTGTATTTTGATTCCATATTTTTTTCCTCAACTTGGTTCTCCTTCAGATATACAATATTAGATTACAACTGTGTAACAATCTGGAAGTGCTTTTTGGCAATGTTGGGAGAACATTTTTGGCAATGTTCTCTATACCTGAACCATGTAAGGTTGGAGAAGACTGTTCTGCATTTTAACACTTATTCCCCTGTTAACAAGGGTCCTGGGGTTGGGTGGTGGAGACTCCAAAACTGACCTACTCAGTTCACCAAAAAACCACAAACTGATCCAGGTTTGTTTGAGGTAAACTAACTTACCCTTGCCAACTAACTACTGCCATATAATGTGAGCTACTTGCCTGAGGTTGGAGTGTCTCTTCTGACATCCATGAAAAAAATCCTAGAGAAGCTCTGCAAAAATAGGGTCTCTCTAGGACTTCCATTTCTGTGGCTGTGGCTGTTTCAGTTTTTGTCTCCGGAGCCACATGGAGGTGTGTGAAAAAAAGACTGAAATTGTGGGAAGGGGGTATGCTCCCTCAAGCCAGTCTGTGAAGGCACCAATCCTGATTGCGCCACCATGGTCATCTTCAGGGAGGTGGGGGGGGGGAGCCAAAAACTGAGAAGTTACAGCCTTCTTTGCAATTGCTGGAAGTACTACAAATAAAATTACTGTGCAACAATCTTTGCTTCCTGGGTCATGTGCTACCATCATACAAAGGTGAGTAAATTGCCTGGGAGAGGGATTCACAGCCATGTCCTATGAATATGACCCAAAGTTTACAATTTAATAATTATGAGCTTTATCTGAGTCACTCAATGATTCCATCTTTTGACCTGTTTCCTTCCTGCCGTCCTTCCCTATAACCCACCATTTCCTTAGGCATCCTTTTCCTGCAGTTCGGGGATGAGACAAGGAGGGTTCATATCACCCACGAAATCAGCAGCATGGATACTCTGCACGCCCTCATTGTCCATATGTTTCCTCAGAAGTTGACAATGGGGATGCTCAAGTCCCCCAACACCGCCATCCTGATCAAGGACGAATCCCGCAATGTTTTCTATGAATTGGAGGATGTCAGGTATGTTTTGCTGAATGCACTAACTCCTGGGAGGAAATAACATGGGAAACAGAATGTTTACTTCTGTGTAAGAATCATGTCTAGGGAAGGGTCTTCTGTCTGTTAGTCCAACCTCCTGCTAAAGCAATCCCAAAATATATTTTAGGACAACATTAATCAAATACAATCCGTGGCCAGATATCTGGTTTATTGTATTTAGCTGTCACGTTGTGTTTTTTCCCTGCTCAGATTGTTAAGAACACCAAGTCCATCATTCTACCTCTGAAGGTGGCTAGCCAGAAGCTTTTGGGAAGTGTATACGCAGAATATAAAAAAATTATAACCCAGCCTTTTGCCTCTGTGCTCACTATTCAGATGTTTACTGCCTCTGAACCTGAAGGTTTTATTTATTTACTATAGCTAATATGCTATCAGGAAATCAGTTAAATCTGTCTGAGCCAGGGACTATGAGACTGCCTTCTTTGCACTGAATCCACCCACCCAGTGAGATCAGGAAGAGAAGGCTTGCTGAGGTTCCTTCTTTGAGAGAATGCCATCTAGAGTGACCCCTGGGGCAAGCCTTCTTGGTGATGGCCTTCCTTACTTGGAACAGCTTAGTCTTGGATATTTGGCAGCCCTCCTCCACCTTCTGAAGGGCCATAAAGACTTGATGCTCTGGGAAGGCATGTGGGGCTATGGAGGTTTAGTCTACCCCCATGCAATCATGGTTTTTGGATTTTTTAAAATTTATTTTTGACCTTTGTTGTGGTGTTCTGTTCTGTAAGTGACTTACAGTCCATGGGAATTTAGCAGCATAGAAGCCATTGTTATAAAACAATCAATCAATCAATCAATCAATCAATCAATCTTGCAGCAGCTGATTCCATAGTTAATTATGTGTTATGTGAAGAAGCATTTTCCTTGTCATCCAAAATCTATTGCCAATCAATTTAATTGTTTGATGTCAAGTTCTAGTGTTATGAAATGGAGAAAAAAGTGTCTCTAGCCACTCTTCACACTACGCATCATTGTTAAATATTTCTATCAAATTAGTCATCTCTGTTTTTATCACCCCCTTGATAAACTGTGGATATTTTCTTGTAAGGTATTTTTATCAGAGAGTAACACTTTTCTCTCTGTTCATAGTCCTCCTGTAGTGCTACCTACAGCTTCTTTTATCTTTTTTCCTTTTACCTTTCCTCAGTAAATTCATTAAGGAAGAAAAGAGATTTAGTCGCTCAGTGCCTTTTGATTGATAGCACCAGGACCCATTTTACTAGAAACATCCCCTGTTTGTAAATCTTCATGATTCCTTTTATGTGAGCTTTGGCAATTCAACCCAAACTTACGAGCAAGCATCAAAACCTACAGATATGTGGGACCCATATAATGCTGAGCCTAGGCACAAAGTTGCACCCCCACAGAAGGATTTGCATGGACAAATCTATATTTCTGTGTATCAAAGCAACAGATTACTGCAACAAGATTACAAATTCTAAATCCTGATGTGATCTGCTTGAAGGCTTTTTGGAATGAATAGGAGCCAGTGATAGAAGAAAATGCCTTTATACATTTGTCATCCTTGCTGCTCTCACTGTGCTCAAGCATATTTTAGCACTTGAAATAATGACCAAAGCTAATATGTGTTTGTCTCATGTGATTCTTTTGGCTTTGTTCTTGCAGGGATATTCAGGACAGAAGTATTATCAAAATCTACCGGAAAGAGCCCCTTTATGCCTCATTCCCTGGATCCCACATCACCAATGGTGACCTTCGGGTAAGATCAACGGGTTGCATAGGGGCCATTCAGTTTTTTATTGTCAATGCCACAAGAGATAAAATGGGCAGAGTACTAAGGAACATTTCATCAATGGCTATGCTGTGGTGCACACAGACATATGTATATTGACTTTTTAGCAAGCAATGTGCTTCTGCAGATGTGCAGTCATAATCTTCCTCTATAATGTTCAATGCACACTAGCAGAAGAGGGCAATTTCCTCCTTGTGTCTTGAGGGCTATAGATGTGGACTGGGGTGATTATTTCCCCAGAAAGTGATTGAAAAATCCTGAGGATCCTAATCTAAGCACCTTCCCCACTCCTTTCTTCTCCTTTCCTTTTCAGCAAAACTAAAATACTTGAGCCAAATTTCTTCAGTAGAGAGGATCACTGGAAGATTTGTATTTCCCTTGAGCTTTAGATGTTCAGAAAAAGTCACCACTTTTAAAATATCTCCCACCCTGGGAAAAAATCCATATATCCTACAAAATCTTGCTTCTGAGGGATTCCAACTTAAATTAGCAGTTCTGTTTTAGGAAAAGAAAGGACTAGGGAGAATCCTCTGTTTCTGATATTGACGGATGGTATCCATGAGGTTGGAAGAGTTTAGGATGGGACTTGCATTTCTGTAGATATGAGTCCAAAATCATGTTAGCCCACATTACCCCACATGTGGTTAGCTTTAGAAAAGTAGCTACAAGGTCTCCATCTATTTTAGGGAACAACCTAGTTTAATAAGGAAAGCAGTTGCTTTGGAGGAAACAAAAAGATGGAAAATATAATGAAGCAACTTGGCAACAAATATTTCACTAGTGTAAGCAGAATTTTGGCAAGGAAGTAATAAATATGCCCATCAAGGCATTCATCAGAGTAAAGTATGTTTCCAAAAGCGGGGATGGAATGGAATGAATCAACGGTAAGAAAATGCAAGAAAGAAATGTTGTGCTTCAGGGAGAGATAAACTCTCCCATGCTTTGGGAGGTGATCTGTTGTGAAGGCCATAAGAATAAGACATTTTGTTTTCTATCCTCACAGGCAGCTCAGTATATATTATGCACTTCTACACTTGTTTCATATGGTTAAATAATCTCATATATTTTTACCTAAATGCAGACAAGAGTTAGAATATTCTGAATTTCTTTGACTTCTTATCATTCCAGAGAGAGGTGGTCTACACTTCCAGAGAATCCTCTCCCACCCGGCGCCTAAACAGTATGTCTTCTGCTTCCCACCTCACCTCTGGCTCCCCCCCTCCAGTGCTCCAGTCATCCTCGCCTTCTCGTTCCCGTATGTCTTACAGTGGTGGGCGCCCACCCTCCTATGCTGGCAGCCCTGTGCATCATGGCGAGCGCCTCTCCAACCTTCCTCCAGCTCAGGGTGTCTCACCAAGTCCAAGTGCTATCTTGGAGCGCCGGGATGTCAAGCCGGATGAAGACCTGGCAGGAAAAAATATGGTGCTGGTGAAGAATGAGGGCCTGTATGCTGATCCATACAGTATGGTACATGAGGGACGTTTGAGCATTACATCTACTCAGTCGCTGGCTGGGATGGGGGATCCATTTGCTTACCCTGGAGGGCTCTATAAGCGGGGCTCAGTGCGTTCTCTTAGTACCTATTCAGCTGCTGCCCTGCAATCAGAACTGGAAGACAGTTTACCAAGTCCAAGTGCTATCTTGGAGCGCCGGGATCTCAAGCCGGATGAAGACCTGGCAGGAAAAAATATGGTGCTGGTGAAGAATGAGGGCCTGTATGCTGATCCATACAGTATGGTACATGAGGGACGTTTGAGCATTACATCTACTCAGTCGCTGGCTGGGATGGGGGATCCATTTGCTTACCCTGGAGGGCTCTATAAGCGGGGCTCAGTGCGTTCTCTTAGTACCTATTCAGCTGCTGCCCTGCAATCAGAACTGGAAGACAGTTTATATAAGCCCAATGCACAGATCTATAGTGATACTTATGGCCCAGGGATGGGCTTCCGTTTGCCACCATCATCTCCACAGAAAATAGCTGATGGCCGACTGGTGGATGTTCAGCAGAGCCAAAGCCCCCACAGCCCTTATTCAGGGCCTCCAAGTCGATCCTCCCCAGTACGGCAGACTTTCCGCAAAGATTCTTGTTCCTCGGTCTTCATGGAAAGCCCTGTCAATAAACCACGGAATCTCAGCTCTTCAGGTGCTCCAGAACTATTCCCTGGACCTGGGGAACGACCTCATTCTGGATTCAGTTCACCTGTGCCTGCCAAGGATACTGAAACAAGGTAAGATGATGGAAGTGTATCATTTCTTGCTAATAATAGATGTACCACTCTTAATAACACAGTGATCAGCACCTTGAATATTTTACACATTGGGAAGTTGGACACTAAAATGCAGGCCTTCTTATTCTGGATTGAATTTGACAGAGTATAAAGAATGATATTCCAGTCTCAGCAAATGATATTTCTATCCTATACTGTTGTTATCTCAAAAGAACCCACATGATTTTGGTTATTTGGTGCCAATATGTTAAAATAAATGCACATGGGTTAGTACACAGTTTGGCCTCTTACAGTGACTCTTATGGTCATTTTGGCTGGAGCAGCAGGAGTGATCAGGCACTAGGCATTTGAGCACATAATGCTTGACTGGTGCTTTGCAAAGCAATGATCAGGCATTTTGGAGGGTAATTATGCAAGACCACTAGACTCACGTAAAAATTGCCCTGATTGACAAGGCAGCTTGCACAGTAGAGCACTGCTGGCTGAAGTGGTGAGTCCACTTGCCAGTACCTATCCACAACCCCTTGTCAGCTGTTTTTAGACAAAGCAAGAGAGACAGCAAGAGGACATGAGTAAGCAAGAGAGCAAGGAAGCACAAGAGAAACAAATGAGTGAGTGAAAGAGAAGTATCACATATGGAAGAAAGGATGAACTGAGCAAACATGCAAGACAGACAAATCATCTGTGGGATGAGTGGCTGCTTTCCAGTAAAGCCAGAGAGATGGGTCTGGTATCTGTCAAAATTCACTTCTTTCCCCAGTCCCAGCCCCATGCCATATTAAGGAGAGCAATTGGAGGATGTTTTTCCCATCAGCAGGAAATCCACCAATCATTTTCCATAACTAGTTCCATGTTAAACCTGTCAGAATGGAACCTTCCGCTGGTCTCATTACCAAAGCAGAGTAGAGATCAGCTGTCAGGACAGTGCAAATAATGCTGGCATACATTTGTGCATTCTTATGGACTGGAGGAAAACATGTTAAACAGGCTTCCTGCCGATCATTCCTGTTGACAACACAAAGACCTCTTGACCTAGGACCTAGTAACTTCTTTTTTCAGCCCCTCTTCTCATCAGCTTTTAATGAATTTTCTCAGATAAGAGAACTAGTTGGAAGAAGAAATGGGGAAAATCAGCAAAATGACAAATGGAAGCTATCTTGATCCTCTGTAAAAAAAAATTGAGTGATGCAAAAAGCCTTATTCCAAAGCATTCCATATTTTTGAGAACTGGTAATGGCATTTCCAGTTTTGTTCTGTATTTTTTCAGATCTGATTTATTTCTTTTTTCTTTGCTATGTGCTTGCATCAGCATTGGACTAATCAGTATAGCAAGGCAAAATACTGTTGAAGCATTCAGTTTTCTGTGGACCTTTATTTAGACTTCCATGCTTGCAAATTCTATCCTTACATTACTTGACAACTGAGTGGGTAGTCTGAAGAGATACGCCTATTAATTACCTCTTACAGCATAATCCTATGTATAACTCTTCAGAACTAAGTTCCATTCTGTAATGAGGCTGACTGCTGAATAATTGCCCATAGGATTGTTCAACTAATGTCAGATCTGTTGCAAGCTTTATATATTGGGTTCTTCCTTTTGCTTCTTTTGTTTCATTATATGCAAAAAAAAGTGGTATTTCGCTCATTTAAAAAGAAATAAATTAAAAACGAGAGGAAAATAGTTATTATATAGTTCCCTCTTGTGGGAAGCTGAAATCAAACTTCAATTAAAAGATGCTACTCATGGGATAATTATTACCTATTTCCCAGCAGTAAGCAATAAAATGAGTGAAAATCTGCAAGCAGGAAACTTTTAATAAAGAAGAGAAGGGGCCTTTGCTCAGTGGGACTTATTGTTCGATTAAATGTTATAGAAGGCCCAAGGTCATTGCGCGATAATATACTGCCTGAGTCCCAAAAGTAATGTATCAAGAGTGTGCCTGCTTGTAATCTGTCAAGCTTCTTGCTCTATTCTTTTCAAAATTCTTTTAATTTTATAATAATGGAAAGCTTTGCATCCTGCAGAGCAAAGCATCATTCCCAAGCATGGCCTGTGTTTCCACTTGAATTTTTATTTTAGAAAATAAAGTCGAGGTGGCTGCAACCCAATACTTCATTTATCTTCTGCAATATGATAGATGGGTGTTTTATGATTGGCAGCTATTAAAAAATCCCAAATGTGGTCACTACCCCCAAAAGGTTGATGACCCCCCAAATAGTATGGTATTACATGTTTTGTGAAACCTCCATTTTTAATTTCAGTTTGTTGTGGTCTCAGTCGCACTGAAGGGGTGAGGAAGCAGCTGCTTTCATCCTAACTAGCTGGAATAATAACCTGTCTTCCATGTCGCCATAGCAGTTAATCTTTTCTTCTTTCCCTCCATTTTTAACTTGCATCTGCCTCCCTTACCCATAATTTTCAAGGGTCTGATGAAAGACATATTGCAGCAAATTAGATAGCACAAGATTGTGTGCCTTGTCTCATGTTTAATCTTCCCGTGCCCACGAGAATGGTTTCTCAGCTGACTTGAGTTGCCAGGGGGAATGTAAGAACAGAGCTCATTAGGATAACAGAAAGATAGAAAGAAAGAAATGATTAGAAACAGCAAGGGGAAGGGAGAGTGAAAGGCAAACAGGAGAAGTCAAAGGAATAAGAAGCACAGTCCTGTCAGAAGTTAATGTAGTGGAAAGTACGTGTGAGAAGTTGCTCCTCAGTGCAGAACCTGGAAGGAAGGCTGAGTGAAGAGGCCCTTTGGGATGGACACTGGATGGAGAAAGTGAGTGAGAGAAGCCAAAACACAAAACCACCCTTACCGCTATATTTGGTTTCATGCCGTTTCATTTCATTTCGGCCCTTTCCTTTTCAAAGTCAAGTCTTGGAGCGTGGCCCCGACAGGAAAAGGCAGATCACCTCACTTTGACCAACAAAAGGTACAGGATGCCTGAGTTTTACTGGCATAACAGTGGCTCACACGGACTGACCTGCATCTTGTCACTGTTAAATACTTGTAAATACTTGTCACTGAGAAAGTAGGCATGTTCATCATGTCCTTAATGCAACTGTAAATGGAGTGAAACAAAGGCTACAGAATCACTGACACAAGCATGCCATGTGTGTGACACTTTTTCCAATAGCACATTATCTGATATACAGGGGTGGGGCGGGGGAACAGGGTGAGACACAGTGGATTGGAGTGTCACGTACCACCCTGTGCAAGGGAAATACTCCCATTCAGAATTTGATTTGCTAAAGTAATAGCTCCTCTCCCCTTCAGGACAAAATTGCCAACCCTGCTGTCATCCAGGATATACTTCTGAAGATATGCTCTCCCACTAGCCTGGAATTACAGGATTTGCTACTCAACACATCTGAAGGGTATCGGGCAGGGAGAAAATGCTTTATGCAGTTGCCTTCATGCCAGGTTGTAAGCTTCCCAGAAGTATCTGTAAGGTCTTTATGGATTTGTGCTCTGATTCTGCTGGACTGTTAGGCTCTTACATTTCCTATGTCCTCAGGAAGCCTGTTTTGCTCCTCAGTTTTCACCACAATGTGAAGATGTTGCCTTCTACAGAGCTTCAGGAAGTTATATTGACTTCCCTCAGATGCTTTTTACAATGCAATCTTCCTGCTGTTTTATCTGGGATATTATATTGTTTCTTTGCTAATATTTTTTTCTTGCTTTGGTGATTTTATACTTTTAGCTTCTTTATATTGTCACAAACAAGCCTGGATTATCAAATTGAGAGATGGGCAGGAATGCTGTTTCAAAACTGAATCCCAATAAATATATTCTTATGTTTACTCATACTGCTATAATAATAGGCAGTAATGAAAAAAGCATATACTTGTCCTACTGCCTTGTCTGGGTCTTTTTATATGCACAGTCTTTTTCCCTCTTCCTCTGTCTTTTCATTAAGGGAGCGCATGGAAGCGATGGAAAAACAGATTGCTAGCCTCACAGGATTGGTACAGAGTGCATTAATGAGAAGCTCAGATGGAGAGAATCCTAGGTAAGAGATTGGATGGATAAAACTGCATGTCTTTGCTGCTCTTCCCTTGGCATTGACAGAGATGGTGAAATTTTCCTCTGGATTAGGTCTTTATCCTGATAAATGCAAAGCAGAATGTTATTACCAGATTAGAGATGCATTTCCAACAATCCAACAAAATTGGCCAGGTTGCTTTTGCAATGGGTTAAAAGAGAATGGAAATCACTATGGTATAAAGGTTAGAGTGTTGGACTTTGGCCAGAGAGATCAGATATCAAATCTCTGCTCAGCCATGAAATGTAGTGGGTAGAGTGGCAAGATGCAAGATAACTTATTTTAAGTGTAAAGAACATGGAACTTTTGCAACTGGCCACCCTACTTTTAGGTGATCTTAAGACAATAACTCTCAGCCAAACTTGCCCAGTTCAACCTCTTAGTCCGTAGAGTGTGTATTCCAATGAAATATGAGACAAACCGCCTGGTAGAGCAGTATTTCCACTACTGCAAAGAGTATCTATCCCCAAACTCATTCCCTCACATTATATAATCCTCTGTGTTTCAAAGAGAACCACTATCAAGGGTACCATTCCCTTCATTGTATCGATAACTCGTGAAGTACCATTACAATCAGTTACCTTAGCCTCAGTTGTACTTAATTAATTGGGATAATGGCTTGGTAGTTCTTGCTTCACTACCTATGGGCCCCTCACCTGGCATCCTCCCCAGCCTCAGTCTGCTAAAGAGATAGGACACATGCTGCCTTGCTGGTGCTTAAAAAGTAAAAATGAGGGTGGGGTGTTATAGTAAGTATAGAGGATGGCCTTAAAGGAAAGAGGGAGGAAGGGAAGCACATTCAGACTTGCAAGATTCTGTTACTGCGGCTGTTCTAATGAAGTACCTTTAGGTCTACATGGTAACTGTTTCTTAGTCTAGTCTACCTTATAGGGCTGACAGATGGGCTATGGAATCATTGCTATAGTGCAACCTCCTAGTGTAGCATAGTAGCATATGCCCTCCTGTCCTTTCTGGGAGATCACTCTCACAACATATTAACAAAATCAAACTTTATTTTTTTAAAGAAAAGAACAAATAAAATGTAAACCTTACTTTTTAACATTATTAAAATGCAGGTATACAGGATGAATAAGAGGTGTTCCAGAGCTTACGGGGTAACATAAAAAAAGAACATGCAAGACACAATGTAATGCTCCAAATAGATCACAAGTTATTGCTTGTCTGCCATAAAACTTTTGTCAGGATATGCGGTAGAAAATTCCAAATTAATATACAGTTTCCAGGAAAACTATAAAGAAAAATTTAGGTCTTCATGCACACCCTGTAATAAAAATAAAAGGATGGGGGGGGGGGAAACCTCAGTAAAGCTTAGATAGCACTATATAGAAAAATAAAAGATAAAAACTAATATAGTTTTCTGCTGCTAGACTTATTTACCTATTCCTGAGATACAGTTTCCTGAAGCAAAAGCTCTCTGCTTGCTTCCCTGGACTTTTCCAGCTTCTTGTAGATTCCAACCTTTAATCAAAGGCTCAGGAGTATGGTGTTTATTATTTCCTCTCCCTAGTCCCAGTACCCAGCTTTCAACTTTTCTCCCTCTTGGGGAAAAGCTTTGTACTTTGTCCAGAGTCACATTGTTTGAGGTGGGTGGCCTTATAAATCTAGCTAATAAATAAATAATACAATTTTACTCTAACTGTGACCCAGAACATGCATATCTCCCTCCTAAAAATGTAAAATCTGTGTCTGAGAAGAATAAATGTGTATCCTATGTCTGGCATTAGGGCTGATAGTTTGGAATATTGTGAACCATATACACAAATCACACACTATTACAGTATAACGATTTTCTCCTCCATCCAAATATATTAAGCCTAGAAATGACTTTTGAATATCTGTGTCTTGTTTGTTATTACAGTGAGAGAGCAGAAGGGACCAATGGAGGAACACCTCCATCAGCACGTAAGTGAGCAACTGAAGTCCCATCCTCAACTCTGACTTATCACAAGAGAAGGAAATCATCCTAGGTTCATCAGTGGAGTAGCAAAACAAGAAGTGAAAAGTCCCATTTGTAGTTGCTGTTGTATCTGGAATAGGCTAAAAGTATTTTTATCTTGATAGGTGGGCTTTTGGGATAGGAAGTTTTCATGAAAACGTCCCATCCCTTCGTTTTGTTCTTTTTGTTTTCGCTTTTCTCCTGTAAGTTATGGCACCTGCATGATCTTCTCATATTCAGTGCCATTTTCCCACTTTTTGGGCTGTCAGGAACAACGTGCAAGCAAGAATTGCCTTCACTCTTGATTTGACTTCTTGATGATGCCACGCAGATTTTGCGTGTGATGTTGCAAATACAGTTCAAAGTGAGGGAAATGATTCTTGCCTCAAGGTGAGAATAGTTTCAGCATAACTACCAGGCCTCTTCTACAGGCAAGTTTGAAAGAGAAGCAATAGCTAAATGAGGAGAAGCCGATGCTAAAGTTAGCCCAACTCTCGGCATTCTTGGAGTTGCTGAAAGAATAACACTGTCCACACCGATGGACAGTGGTAAAAATTGAAACTACTGCTCACTAGTGTACTTTATTCGTGTAGAAGATATTGCTCCAGATGTTGTCTTCTCTTTGATGAAAACTCTATAATGAGAGAAACTATGTTCTGTATTGCAAGCTTGATAAAGGATCTTAATGGCATATAATCCTAGTCTTTTTTTCCCCAATCTCTATGGATTATAAAAGTTATTTTCTCTGTTGCAGCCCCAAGCAAGAGCAACATAGGGACCCCAGTTCCTGGACCTCCACCCCCATCCACTACTGGCACACCAGCTGGGCAGCCCACTGCTATCACCCGCCTGCACATGCAGCTGCACCTCCATGACTTGCAGCAGAATGCCAGTGACCTCCGCAACCAGCTGCAGCAACTGAAGAAGCTGCAGGTAACCCGAGTTGGAAAGAATACGCGTTTTGGCGCTCTTTCCCACGGAGGGGGAAGTTTTCAGAATATTACGTTGGTTCCACGAGGGAAGAACTGAAGCTTTTCTCCATGCATTAGAAATGCTGTGCTTTGAAAGCAAATGATGCTTCATACTGAACCTTCAGAAACCAGAGAAGTGGCTACATCTGATGCCCAGTTGTTAGAGCATGTCCTGTATGTTTCCGCAAAACCAAATAAATGATGTGAAACAGAAGCACTGCAGATTTGTTCAAATTATCTAATATATACAGATCTGAGAATTTAGCTTCACATGATGTAGAATTTGGAGAGGCACTTGAAAATAAAATTGTGTTATTTGATGTAATCTTATCCTTTAGATAACACAAAATGGAAAGACCTAAACTGGAACCTGTTTCTTCTTTAAATTAAAAAAATAGTTTCTGGCTAAATTCCATAAGGAGTGCACTGATTTTAAGGTCAACTTTCCAGTGCAAAAAGTAATTGTGTCTCATATTTCTTTCATAGGGAGAAGCAACAATATTCATTCAGCAGTCATAGTCACTCAGTTTCAGTATTGTCCATTCCTCTCTTTATGCACACACTCATTTTGCTTCCCTCTAATAAATTAACCTTTCCCCATAATTTTCTGTTGTTAGAAGAAGAAAGGAAGGGGCACAAACAACCAAGGAGGAATGCAAATTAAATGTAGGTATGGAGAAAATCTAAGGTTCAGCGTTACTACATATGCATTGCTCACTGAACGTCTTAGTTTAATCCCTGCCATCAACTGTGACTGGAAAAGGTTCTCTGTCTAAAACTTTGGAGTGTTGTTGCTGGTCTATACGGACAATAATGGGACAGATGGATCAGTTATTTGAATCTAGCTTGTTATTTTTCATTTTCTATTTAGGCTTCATTTAACTTAGTGATAAGGTAGGGTTTAATCCTAAAATCTTTCCCCATCCTTCAGACACCACAAAAAATAAGCCTTCTGCTTCCCCCATCCCACCACAAGAGTCTGCCTTGCTATCTTTTCACTCTCAATTTTGTTTCTCTTTTCTGTTGACGCTTATTCTCATTAGTCGGGCTCACCAAAACAAACTGTTCTTGGTGCCAGGTGATATTAATTTGGAGTCTGTGGCACCAAATGAAAGGGCAGATGGTAGCTGTGCATCCAGAGCCAGCAATCTGATCTTTCTTCCCCAACTGTGGGAGTTGCCTGTGTTTTTCTCTGAGTTGCTTAACTCCAAAGATAATTAACAGTGACAGCTTGTTGGAAACTGGAAAGCAGCAAACAGTGCAGAGAGGTGGAAAGGCAAATGGCTCACACTCCCTCATTTCTCCCAGATGCTTTGAAACTCTGGAACACCCACCACGTCCAGATTTGCATAGATGTCTTCTGTAGTGTCAATCACATGTAGAAACATCATTCCCACTGGGTGGGTTTGGGCTATGGAGAATTCGTTCAACAGAGGGTACACCAAAGATAACTGATCTGGCGTCCTCTCGATGTTTATGATTTCCAATCCCATCAGACCAGGCTATCATGGCCAATGACGAGGGATTCCTAACCCATTGGTCAGAGCATCTAAAATTCTATATGTAATCTGTATAGAAATAGGTATTTATATAAGATAAATTTTGACCAATGGGTCTGTTCTTTCATTACTTTGCAAATATCAATAAAGGGAATCAAACCTCTAAGCTCTGTGGAAGAGGGGGGAGGAATCTTTGATTGCCAATTCAGAAGCGTTATTAATGTTCAAAGATAGCACTAGGATATATTTTTAAAAAATATTTGGGTTTAACCATTCTTAATTTTGCAACCAAATTAGTGTCGTAGAAATCTGAAACAATTCTAATTATGCATACAGTGTTCCAATCCAATTTCAGTGTGACTATAAAAGAAGATGAGATGTTAGACGGCAGAGGATGTCAGGTCCTCATTTATTTCAGTTGCAGTATTTCAGATATAAGAGTGGTAAGACTGGATTCCCTCCAATGGCAACATGCATGTCTAAACTACAGAAAGAAACTTCTAAGCCTTTGAAGAATCATACATTCACTGACTTCAGACAGAAAATAAATACGCACGTATACACCTTGTATGCTTCTAAATGTGAAACAAATATTAATTTGTGTTATGAGTTTTAGGCCCAATTCACCATTCACTGGCTTCTTTACCACTAGTTTTACATTGTTTGGGGGAAAATACAACATCTGGAGGGCTCTTTGAATGCAGACACATATAAACAGTTCTTAATTACATAAGTGATTGGGTATTCCTTTTGGGCAAACCCTTTGGAAATAAGAAATTGTATATGTGTGTCATGCAGGTGAATGATTTTATCCATATTCAGCATCTGTTTAGAAAAGAAAATCTCATGCTGGACTGTGAATAGGCCTGCATAGTGTTCCTGAAGGGAATTAGATGTGCATCAGCCAACCAAATTCCAGTTTATAAATGCTAGTAATTTCATTCTACACAATGCTTGATTGGTCCTGGCTGTTTATGGAAGAAACAGGGCCAGTTTCTTTATCTGGTTTCTACCTTTCCAGTTTTTTTTTTTTTAATGTCTTAGCTATGATCATGGAAAACTATTATTCACCTTGACCCTAGGGAGCCTCATCCTAAACCTGCAAACTGTGGGAATAACAAGGGGCTGCACAAATGCACACACACAAACACACTCTGCTGGTCCCACAAGAAAATGCCACACATCCTAGTTTGGAGCATATGAGGACTCCTATGTGCTCCTATGCACAAGAAATTTCTAGTCTGGCAAATTTGTGTGCAAAAGCAGTTCTGTTTGCTAGTACCATTGAAGCAAAGCCAGAATCACTGGGGGGAAAGTGGTGCACATTGGACAAGACATTGATGATTCAGGACAGTCTCAGATAAGCCACAGGAAAGTCTCTAGATACAGACTCTCCTTAATCCATTTCTCCCAGAATCCAGTACACCCTGGCTATGATGAATGAAGCAGTTGAACTGCATCTGCTTATCTTCCTGTTGAACCCTGATTCCCCCCCCCCCATCCATTTCAGCTTCAGAACCAAGAGACAGTGAAGACCATGTTGCGGCGGACAGAGACTGAAATCAGCGTGCGGGTGACAGACACCATGCGCAAGCAGGAGGATCCCTTACAACGGCAGCGCACTCTGGTTGAAGAGGAACGCCTCCGCTACCTCAACGAGGAAGAGCTCATAACTCAGCAGCTTAAGTGAGGATTCTGTAAAAATGTCCATATTTATCTAGGGTAGGGCTAAACAGAAGGTTTGATTTGTCATAGACTATGGGGGCTGGGGGGGCGGGTTTTCTCTGTATGCTCTTTTTCTGGCTGGGCTGGAAATGACATTTCAAGGTTAAGTATTCTATGAGTGATATAACGTAACTCCATAAGGCACAGCTGGATTAAAGATTTGCACTGCTGAGGCAAGCAAAACATAGGTTGGTTGGTTTGAAAATGTATATCTTGCCCTTCAAGTATACCCCAGTCAGAATTGGAATCACTTGTTTAGTTTGGAAAAAGAGGCTGAGAAAGAATTTAGGAATTCAAAACATTTCTTTTAAACATAAATAGTTATAGGTGCAAAGGTATGCATTATGGCAACACACATAATCACAAGCTGCGACTGTGCGAGTGAAGCCCTGCCCACTTTTTACAAAAGTTGCAATGCACGTGGAAGGGGCAGGGCTTTGATTATGTGGTTTTGGCCCCCATCTTCACTTTTTTGACCCTTCCCTCCTGTGGAGGTACATTGAATGCCAAAATTGAATGGGGGCAGCACAAAAAGTTAAGCAGCCATTTTCTCTTATTTTTTTCTTCTCTTCTCTTCTCTTCTCTTCTCTTCACTTCTCTCTCTTTCTCTCTCACACATACACTTTCCTTTCCCTTCTGCTCCTTCAACAGATTGCTGGAAAAGAATCAAATTACTTTTGTCAGATATCTGAACTACTTATTTCAAAAAGCTTTTGAAATTAGGCTGCGGGTTGCATTAAATTAGGTCAAAAGCCTTGAGTGATTCACTCCTGATGTAAATAGTTCTGGAGGACTCATTCTGCCCCATGGGTTAAGTCCCTCTTTATCCCCATCTGTTGTATCATCCACATGAAACTACTGGATTTATCCGGATGTGGAGTATATTATGACAGGGACACCTATCCCTGTCGTTCTCATTCCCCTTTTATCTTAAGAGAAACAGTTATTACACTGCTGAGGAAGTTGCATAGCTTCCCGGACCTAATCATACGGATGACCTTTGGGAGTTTCTCCGTGTGGTGTCTTTTTCTAATTTATGAAATACATGTTGCTTGAGACCATGTTATAGTGATTCTAAATTACCTCCAATCTGTTGAAGAGATTTAACTTTCCAAATTGCACTTTTCTGTTTCTTTAATGAACCTGCACCTTATTTTGGGGTGAAAATCCATACTTTTTAAAATTAAAATACTTTCTAGGCGTAATTGAAGATTCGGTCAATAGTCACTTCTCTTTAAGGTGACACAGAAACTAATTGTTGCAAGTCTGCACATATTTTATTGCATCTAAAAATGTTCCTTTTTTTTGACATGACTCTGATTCAGCCAATTTGAAATCAGGTGAGGTTCTTCATTATCATTGCAGTTCTATTTTGGTAGCTTCCTGATTGCTTTCTACATCCCAAAATAACTCTGTCAAGTAATGATTATGGTGTACTGATTGAGGATTTTTTAAAACTGATTTATTACTCACTAGCTTGATCCCATGTTTATTTATTTATTTTAACATACACACACACACACACACAGAGCGATAATACATATAGACTGTTCATATATATAGCCCAAGATAAATACAGAGATAAGTATATTTAAGCTCATTAATTTCAGTGGACTTGGATCTTTCTAGTTTTGTTGGTTATGACCATACTAACAAATACATCTACACATATATAAATGCCACTCAAACAGGTAGTAGTCTTACATGTTACTTTTCTCAGGCATATGGCTATTTAAAAGTCTGCATGCAAATTACATCACTAAGCCTTGGAAGGAGGAGAAGTAGAAGATGAAGGGTCAGTAATCAGGAAAGTATGAGAAGATTAACTTCCTTTGTGCTGTATTGTCTTCTTCTATATCATTTGGAGAGAATAGCAACAGACATCTTTTTCTTTCCCTCTCTCCCTGACCTTAGTGTGTTGTCTTTATGTATCCACAGTGACTTGGAGAAATCGGTAGAAAAGATCCAAAAGGACTTGATGCATAATCACAGATTCATCTCCACACAAGAGCTGGAGGAGAAATCCCTGGTGCTTAAACAGTTGGGAGATACCTTGACAGAACTGAAGGGTGAGATGGGGCTGGGACTGAGATCAGATAAATTTGACAAAATTGGAAAAAGTCTGTGCAGTAGCATTTGGTACCGTATTTAAGTCTGAGAATTTCAGCTGTCTTTTAAAACAGTCAGACAAACAAATCAGGAAGCTTCTAGCCCTCATGTTCATTTTAGAAATTAAACTGAGAAATGTATAGATAGTATATATTAAGACCATGCTGTGATTTGGAATTGAAGGCAAAAATATATTTTGGACCATAACAGGTACACATGTAGCACTTGTTTGCAGATTCATAAATCAAGCACGTCTTTTCCAAGAATTGCATGGCAGCTGCAAATGGTGGCCCCAGGATCCCAGCAAAAGACATGGCTGCTTTAAGTACTTGCAGGCAGGTGTTACATGCATGCCCCTGAGCTTTCCAAAGGATCTTTTTGCCTTCAAATCTGATGTGCTACATATATATAGAAAACCGAATTAGGAAGAGAACTTCCACCTTATGAGTTGATCTGTGTATGTTGTACTTTGTGTAAGGGTGAGTGAATGGCCTTCTCTTGTTTACTCTTAGATTCATTCCAGTGTTTCTGTTAGTTCATATAACGTTCCATATTCATCAATTGCTGACTCGAGCTGCATTTTCCTTGCCACACATGTCTCCACAGCTCTTTACCTTTATATTTGTTAACGACACAATCACATTAAAATAATGTCTAAGTTCTTTAAAAAGTAACACCAAAACAAAAGCACCAACTCACACATTTCAAGACATTTTTTTAGAAATGAGAAAGTTGTACGTTCTGTATGCAGTCTAGATTTCTCTTGAGTGTAGATTTTTGAGGGATTTTAATGGTAGTTGTTCTGACGTTTGCATTATTTGTTACATAGATTATGGACAATCTGTCTATAGAAGTCCTAGGAAGCTGTGGGTTTTCCAGGACATTAGTCATCACACATGTATTCTGAAGCTGGCTCAGACTAAAGGCCTGCTAAGTCCAATAATCCAACTGTGATCAAGCAAATGCCCCAAGAATTCATAAGTAGGGTAGGATGGATCTCTCAGACAATCTCTATGGTTTGTGGTCAGTCTCAAGCAATCAGCAATGTCCTGACTTTAAAAATTGAGGGAACATTTTAAGTTACTATGTGAGCAGTACATTAGATGGAGGTTTAGCTAAAGTTAATGCCTCATAAGAGATTCCCTTTTTCAGATGGTAGATCAGTCCTGCTACATTGCTTCTGAGGACTCTCATATTCATTCTCTTAAGTGGGACCAGACCCTGGATTCTGTTCCAAAGTCCTGCCCTCAGTCTTGCCAAAAACTGTTGGTAGATTTAGTCTTCATTATTCAATTGTAAATGTTTACAATCATTAGTGCTCATCATAATGCCTTGTTGCAAAATATAATTTTAGGTGTTTTGAGCAAAAAAAGGAGAAGGAGAGAAAGGAGTGAAAATTTAATCATGCTTTTGTATTTGGAAATCAAAGAAAGTAAAGGATAAGGATCATTCTTCTTGCTCTTTAGCAGAATGCTATGCATGGTCAGTGTATCAAGAGAAATGTAATAAGTTACCCGCTGGAATATGTTATGCATTCTCTAAATTTACTTCAATAATTTCCTCCCAACCCTGTTTGCTGAACATTCTTACTGTACCATGTAGTTGTAATTTTGTTATTATATTCATACTGGTCACTGCCTTAGAAACATTCGAGGGGGAAAAGTAGTTTGAATGTGTTACCTTTACAAGTCTCAAGGCAAGCAGCAAAGATCAAGTAGGCAACAGCATCCAGCTAAAGGGCTGGATCTTTCCCTTGTCCCCTTCCAGGGGCTGGATAATATTACTGCATAAAGCCAAAGATACAGCCTTTCTCTCAAATCCCATCTCTAGGTGGGTCTCCCAGGGGGAACTTTTATGACTTTTTTGACACACAAATCCTGGGACACATCCACCAATCTGGTCTCCTGAGCTTCTAGTTCCTAGCCAGTGTGCTATGCCATTTGTCTCTGCACTAGCGGAACTTCACAAGATCAGTCCCCAAAATTCCACATGTCCTCAGCTGCATCCTGATTGGTGCTGCATTTCTGGTTCTGATGTGGAACTTAGTGCTCTGTAAAAGAACTAAGGACCATATCATGATATCTTTTATTCTCATTTGCACAACTGCTTTGTAGTGCCCCTTGATCATTGTCCTACTCATTCTCATCAGTTTTTTTTCCTTCTAATATTTACTTTAATTTATGTTCCCCAATTACTATCAAATAAATACTATGGTTGTAATCCTGTGCATACTTCACAAGAAGTAAGGTCCATTTTCCTTTTTTACTGTATTTGTACTGATATGATTATTGTGAGGATGCATAGTATATGATTACAAACTTTTCTCTATGTATCTGCTGCCTGGAGACTATGCTTCTGTACCACAAGCAACTAGATATTGGATTGTAGTGCTATTTTTTAAAAAAAAAATAGAGCCAACCCAATAATCCAGAGGTTAATATACTTTATATTATTGTGGCAAATGTCCTAAACCTCAGTAGGACCAAGAGAGAGATTATAGAAAATTCCAAGGTTTTCCAAGAAATGTAAAATGTAAAATTACCAGCTATGCCTTTGGTAAACTATCCAAATGTCAGCCTCATTTCCACCGTTTCCAAAGACTTCCCTCTCTCTTTCACATTCTGAGTTGTAAATGTCAAAAAGCAGCTTGACAGCATTTTGATTTCTAACATTTCTCACTGGGCCTTTTATTGGTACACTACTTGTCAGTTTTGCCAAGTTTTTGACATTTAAGTGGACAAATCAAAATAGAAGGAAGGTGGTGCAGATATATTTCATCTATCAAAGGTTTGATAGATATATGCCTGAGTGTCATCTTAGTATTTCAGGACCACTTTTTCCTTTATGCTGTGCTAGGTATGTACTATGGTTGTCAGTAGAGGTTAAGCTATATTGCTGATACCGCAAATGTCTTTCTGTTTCCTTATATATTCTCCAAACCTATATTATACCTGATTATTCTTTAAAAAAAGACATGGGCATTTCAGAGTTCATTTATGTTTGTTTAAACTGATAGTCTCATGAAACAGAAATATATATATATATATATATA